TTTTCAGTTTAAGATTTTTGTGAAGTAATTTTACAGTAAACTATGTTAACTATAGATGGTCTGCAGATTTGAAAAATCATTTTAGATCAAGTCTTATAACAAAATTACCTCTTTTAAATAATGTGACTAGTAATATCGATTTGCAAAATAGAACGTCAATAGATAATATGTTGTTAAATTTAACGTCTATTATTCATGATGTAACGGATCCTATATTTCGTCAAAATGTTACTATTAAAAAAGCTGTCTCGTTTAGCCAGACAAATATTGTTAAAAACATGTCATGGTTTGACTATGAATGTGAACGGTCCAGGCAGTTGTATATAGATGCTTTGTCAAAATTTAACCGTTTTAAATCTCCAACAAATAGGGAACAATTATGCTTGTTAAAGGCTAAGTATAAGGCTATAATGAGGAGAAAACGAAATTGTTATAACCTCAAGCAAGTTAAGGAAATTGAAAATTTAAGGTTGTCAAAACCAAAGGAGTTTTGGAAATATTTTAAAAGAAAAAATGTTGTTTCTAATAATCTTTCCCTAGAGTCATTTTTCAAATATTTTTCTGAACTAGGAAATGATATATTTCAAAATGTTAATGTTGAATCTGAGGATTTTGCCTCAACTCATGATTTCAATTTTAGTGATGATGCTGATGACTTTTTAGATCGACCAATATCTGTTTAATGAAATTATAGATGCTGTCAATTCCTTGAAACGAGGAAAGGCTTACGGACACGATTTTCTATTGAATGAATATTTTATTGAGTCGATTGATATATTGTCTTCACATTTATGTGATATATTTAATAAAATACTTGATAGCGGGTATTTTCCAGATAATTGGACTGAAGGAGTAATAATTCCTTTGCATAAAAAGGGAGATAAGAATGAGGTAAATAATTATAGAGGCATAACTTTAGTTAGCTGTATGTCAAAAATATTTACATCTATTATAAATAAAAAGAATTTATAGCTATTGTGAAGAAAATTGTTTACTGTCAGATGCCCAGTTTGGGTTTAGAAAAGGCAAATCTACTGTTGATGCTTTATTTGTGTTATCATCTATTGTTCAGAAATATATTAACGACAATAAACGTTTGTATTGCGTATTTGTTGACTTTAAAAAGGCCTTTGACAGTGTTTATAGAAATGCACTTTGGTTAAAATTACATAAATCAGGTATTAGGGGTAAAATTATTGCGTATTGTTAAGGATATGTACAATAAAAGTTAAATCATGTATTAAAGTGTGTAATAGTTATTCAGAGTTTTTCGAATATGCTGTAGGCTTACGTCAAGGGGAGATAATTTCGCCGGTTTTATTTTCTCTTTTTATTGATGACATTGAGTTATTTTTGCAGCATGATATAAATTGTGGTTTACAGTTAAATGATATCATTTTAATATTGTTGCTTTTTGCAGACGATATGGCCATTCTAGGCAATTCACCTGAGGAAATAAACAATAGTTTAGTTTTATTACATAATTACTGTACAAAGTGGAGTCTAGAGGTTAATGTAGATAAGACTAAAGTTATGGTTTTTAGGAAGAGAGGTGGTTTGTTGTCCTCTGAAAATTTTTTTGTATAATGACAAACGTCTAGAGGTTGTAAATGATTTCAATTATTTAGGTACAGTTTTCAATTATACTGGTAATTTTGCATTAAACCAAGAACAGCTTGTTGGTAAAGCTTTGAAAGCGTTAAATGTATTACTGAATAAACTGTAATAAATATAAACTGAAACCGAAGTTATTATTGCCAGCTTTTTGACTCTTTTGTTGGATCAATCTTAAATTATGCAGCTGAGATTTGGGGCCACAGTAAGTCTAAAGAAATTGAAAGAATACATCTAAAATTTTGTAAAAGAATATTAAATGTAAAAATAAAAAACTGAAAATGTAACTTCATATGGTAAATTGGCTCGTTTTCCATTGTATATTGGAAGATATGTTAAGATAATAAAGTATCGTTTTCGTTTACTTGAAACAGATAACATTATTCTTAAAGAAGTGTATAATTTGTGTCTCAGTGATTGTAATAACGGTAAAAGTAATTGGTTAACTAAGGTAAAAAAATTATTATATCAATATGGTTTCAACTATGTTTGGGATCATCCTACTATTGTTAACAGTAAATCGTTTATACCTTTGTTTAAACAGTGACTGATAGATACTTTTGTTCAAAATTGGCATGTTGATTAAGAGAATGGCGGTGTCTTAACATTGTATACAAACTTAAGGAAACTTTTTTGTATGAGCAATATCTAAAAATAATACCTAGTAACAGAAAGTTGTTTATTAGTAAAATAAGAATGTACTCTCATTTCTTACGTATACAAACAGGTAGATATGGTACGAATAGAGTTGCTAGAAAAAACGTCGTTGTACATACTGTAATACACAGGACATTGAAGATGAATATCATTTTATACTTATATGTCCTTGCTATAATAATATTAGAAAAAAATATATTAAACGTTTATTATATCAATCCAAGTGTAATTAAACTTGTAGAGTTGTTAAATTCAAAAAATAAGATTATTTTGAAAAAATCTTGCTTGTTATATTAAACTCGCACTTTCTCATAGAACTTCTATTACTTATAATTAAATACAGTTCATCCTCTCAAAATATGAATTTGTGATAATGTGCTATTTTCCATTGTGACATCAAATCATATATACTATTTATTTATGTATATGTATAATGATTATGTACTTATTGTACAAGTCTTGAATAAACTGTTTGTTCTGTTAAAAAAAAAAAAAAGTAAAATATTTTTTACATTTTTTTTTCTTAAAGCATAATCTTCAAACTTCAAATCATAATGTTCCTTATCATCAACCACATCTTATGTGTCAAGGTTGATAACTCTGGCAAAACTATTTCCATAATTATCTCCCCTAGGATTGAGATTTTTCATTAAAAATATTTTTTTTATTGCAACTTCATTATTTGTATCCACTTAAAACTTCAAATATATCTTCCTTTACATCATCGCCAACATGATTTGTGAAAGACTTTTTACAGAATTATTCCTACAGAATATGTGACTTCAAATGTATAAAGTATATTTTAAGACTAGGCTTTAACTTAAAATTGTGTTAAAAATTTAATAAAACTAAATTATTTTAATAATTATTTCTCCATTTTCTTCATTTCTCAAGGCATCTAAGTTACTTATTATCACCAACATCACATGTGATAAATTTGTTACTCTAATATTTCTGTAATTTACCCCCCCCCCCTCCCCCTCGCTTTTGACTTTAGATAATTAGATAATTGTTCAGACAGTTCTTTGTCATTACTCAACGTTTTATTTAAAGAGTTACATCCTCTTTGAACTATGATTTTCACATAAGTTTAGCTCTTATCCACAGGCACGAGTATCGGACCTGGGAAGAAAAAATATGACCAGGTTGATAAAAATATCCTGTGTTCATCTTAAAAGTGTCAAAAACCAAAAAAAAAAATGTAAATTATGACCCCCTTTAAAAATATACTATAAGTTTTTTCTTCCCAGGTCCGATACTCGTGCCTGTGGAATTAACCGCAATATTTGTTTACAATTTTGGTTCTCATCGTGCGAAAAGCTGAATGTCAAATTAATACTTACGAGCAAGGAACCAGGCATCAATGTGCGAAACGGTGCGAAACTTTTCAGTGTCGTTGCCATTGGCAAATCAGATGAATCATTACAAAATATCGAACAGCTGATTATAAATGGCGTAGGAAGCAATCGAAAAGACCGTGGAGGGGTTGAAACTCGAATCTCGCGTATACCAGATGCTACTGACGGTTGTGAGTGGTCCCAGTTAATGTATTTAGTAGTATTATTTAGTGAATTTAAGTGATTTTGTCCCTTACTTTCCTGACAAACATGCGTTAGTCTATGTTTACGTTCCGAATTGTTGTGCCGCAATTCTGTCTACCAAGGATTTTTAGCACGAATTCGCTCGTTTCCTGATAGATATTTCATGAACGGGAAGGGCTAGAGACTTGGGATTGGTCTCATTTTGAAGCTTAATACAAACGTGAAATAGTGATAGAAGTTTTCTTAATTGTCTGGTCAATTGTTTTCACAACAGCCCGGGAAATGAATCACTTGCTCGTAGGCTCGAATCTGGAGTTTCCGGCCTTCTCTTAACTTATAGTATATTTTTAAAGGGGGTCATAATTTACATTTTGTTTGGTTTTTGACACTTTTAAGATGAACACAGGATTTTTTTATCAACCTGGTCATATTTTTTCTTCCCAGGTCCGATACTCGTGCCTGTGGTCTTATCTTCCTTTAAATATTGTGTCCAGTAATTGATTAGTCGAGTGGAGCTGTCTCCTCTGACAGCTCTTGTTTCATATGCTAACAAAGACATCTCAATGCAGAATGGGTCAAAGTATTGAATAGTAAAATTATACTTAATGAATCCATGCTAGCTCAATGTTTATTTGTTTTATTGTTTCAGATTATGATGCTTCCAAAGACTAAAGGAAAAAAAAATTGTACACCCACAGAAGTCCAGCCCTATGACCTAAAATTGTGTTGGTGTGACGTTAAACCCAACAAAAATACAATTTTTCAGTCACATGTCTGTTACATATAACAATAGAGAATTCTTATATACTTAAATTACATATTTTTGAAGATGTTGCTACTGTTTTATAACAATTAATTGTGACATAGAAGTTCATATCAATTTGTCTGCACAATCAGAATAATTATTACATTGCCTTTTATGAATGATAGTCAGAATTGTTTTACACTAGAACATGTATTTTGTTATGATTTTGTTCGTTTTCTATTGCAGATTTTTATCAGGAGGAGTAAAGCAGTATATGTTGAAAATTTTGTTTGTTATTCTTACATTTAGTATATCCTTATCATACTGATCACATAGAAGAACATGAAAATTTCTAGGTATTGTACTTTTAGCTTTTGTTTCACAACAACAACAACACATTCAGGTAACAGTTACTTTAATCAAGTTTTACAGAGAAGGTGTTTTCATGAGCTGCTTGTCCCCTGTAGTCCTGAAAAAAAAGAATATGCATTTAATGTCAACCATTTGTCTTGTGGTTGTTGCCTACACAAATCATTGAGAGCAGTTATCTAGTTCACCATTTTTACAATCATAACATTACTATGTTAACCACAATCATTCAGTTGCCTCTTGAATTCTTTACTTAGTGGTACCCTTTACACTCTAATATTCAGGGGTGACATATATTTGTGCAATATTTTCTTTGTTCAGGACGACTTTGACAGAAAATTCGTGTTTTGAGACAATCCCCCATTCGTATGTCACGTGATCTGCTAATGGCTGATTTGACCCGTTATTGGCATGTTTACTAGATGTTTGAAAAAGGTAAATGCACCAGGACGCATTCAAAATACAAATTCACAAAAAGTATACAGTAAAAGAGGAATAAAAATACTTTAATTCTACATACATTCATTTAAGAATTTAAAAATCATTCGTTCATAAACACTAAAAGTTTCACTAGTGATCCGTAATTGGCCAACTCACTGTACGCTATGCTCTTATTAATGGAAAGCACATGTATGTGCAGTGTAATAAATATACATTTAACCTCTGAAAACTAAATGATAAGATAACATGCAGAAGAAAGAACAAATAAATATCGATTTCTATGTCAGTGTTAACAATTATTACTTGAACTAACTAGAACTCCGCGAGCCGGATGTGTCGCCTTGTGAACAATATAGTTAGGAGAAATGGCCAGGACAAAAATGAAATTTGAAAATCAACAAAGGGCAATTAATCAAATAATAAGAAATGCAGAGCTGCAGTTTCTGGGCACTGAACTTCTTATCAATAAGATCTATCATCCTATTAAGTTTCAAGTCTAAAGCTTTAATAATTTATGAGAAATGGCCTGGACAAAAATAAAGTTTGAAAATTAACAAGGGCAATAACTCAAAAAATAAGAAATGCAGAGTACCAGTTCTTGTGCACTGCACTTCTTCTTAATGAGATCTATCATCCTATGAAGTTTCATGTCCATAGCTTTTATACTTTAGGAGAAATGGCCCGGACAAAAATAAAGTATGAAAATAAACAAAGGGCAACAACTCAAAAAATAAGAAATGCAGAGCACCGGTTCTTATGCACTGCACTTCTTCTTAATGAGATCTATCATCCTATGAAGTTTCAAGTCCATAGATTTTATACTTTAGGAGAAATGGCCTGGACAAAAATAAAGTATGAAAATTAACAAAGGGCAGTAACTCAAAAAATTAAGAAATGCAGAGTACCAGTTCTTGTGCACTGCACTTTTTCTTAATGAGATCTATCATCCTATGAAGTTTCGTGTCCATAACTTTTATACTTTAGGAGAAATGGCCTGGACAAAAATAAAGTATAAAAATTAACAAAGGGCAATAACTCAAAAAATAAGAAATGCAGAATACCGGTTCTTATGCACTGCACTCTTTCTTAATGAGATCTATCATCCTATGAAGTTTCAAGTCCATAGATTTTATACTTTAGGAGAAATGGCCCGGACAAAAATAAAGTATGAAAATTAACAAAGGGCGATAACTCAAAAAATAAGAAATGCAGAGTACCGGTTCTTATGCACTGCACTTTTTCTTAATGAGATCTATCATCCTATGAAGTTTTCAAGTCCATACAATGAAAATGGTCTAACTAAGAAAATTAATCCGAACACCAATATCTTTAATTCAGTTGTTAACGCTGTACAGACGTTTAAAGTGTTGTTTACGTGACGTCACAATATAGCGCCAAACAGCACGTGCACAACAATCAAATCAAGAACGCTATTTTAATGTCGCGAACGAGTTAAGTTTTACACTTATTTCACTTTTAATAATTTGTATTTCGCTTGAAAAATTATAGAGTAAAATAAAATAAACAAACAAAGATTTATCAACGTTTTCAAAATTCGTTTTTCTCAAAACACACGGTAGATTTAACGACAGTTATTTTCAACCCACTGGAACAGCCTTTAAAGAACGTTTCTATTGGAAACTCTGAGGCGAAAACAAATTTAACCACCAAACATAAAGTCCAACTTTATTATAATAATTATATTTTTTCTTGACGTGTAAGAATGGAAATAGATATCTCTTCTTCATGCATTGTTGTATAATAATGCACGTTTTTCGTTCAAATGCTTTGTAATTAATCACTCAGGCCTATCGGCCTTCGTGATTATATTACTACGCATTTGAACTCAAACCGTACATTATTCTACAACAATGCACTCAGAATTGATATCTATTTCCTAAATAGCGTATAAAGTCCTAAATTCATAAACAGTCCAGTGTTTGCCCAAGTTAATGGTTATTGTTCTATTTGAAAAATATATATCTAAAAAAAGTTATATACATGTATATAGTCATATTCATCACAACCAATAACCACATGACCTCTTTTGCTATTCACACCAACCGAGAAGGGCTTTTTGATGTTGCTGATAATTATCCTGTTTCTTTGGTAATTATCTTTTGAAATCTGATGTACATTGTAAGAGCCATACCCGCACATATAAATATTACCTTCTTCGTCTGTTGCCAAACCCGTTATATCTGTCAAATAGCCCTCATCGCGGCTTTTATAGAACCAAGATTCTTGAACAACGTTTTCATTATTATCGGCATAACCAGTAGTGCTGGTACTTTTGAAACAGTGAAGTTTGTCAAATTCTGAAACAATTATTGCATTAGTGTCTCTGTAAAGCAAACGTAGAGTTCCATCCACTCCAAACTGATAAGGGACGCCACGTGAGTTTTCAAAACTGATTGATTTAAATATACGACCAGTTATCGCATTTCTAATTTGAAGAAATGGGTTTTCATTGTCTTCAAAAAGAACAGCAATGTCCTGGTCATTTCCAACTTTATCAACGCCAAATACGTCAACTTTTGTCGGAAATTGGCCTACTCTGTGAGCATTATATGTTTCAATGTCATACGTTTCGACTGATTTAGAAAAAGACACTGCGATTGTCTTGTCATTGACATGACACATGTCAATAGGCTGATCATTAAGACCTTTTGTAAATACTAGAGAAAAATTTTCTTTGAAGATTTTTAGTTTCTTGTTGGCGTTATCAATCATAATTAATCGTTCGTCAGGCAGAATTTCTATAGCATAAATTTTACAACGTTCTTTATCTCCTGGGCATCGAACTTTATAAGAAAATCCCTGCTGATTTATGTTTCTATTCATCATACTGGGGGTTTTCACTTTTTTATTAAGATTTTGTGTAATATTGGTACAGCTTGAGGCACCAGGTGTGTCAAAATGGACAGTCTGCAAAGCCACTTCATCAGTTTGCGTAGTGGCATTACATTTTGATTGAACTATTTGCACCGATGATTCTGCCTTTTCTTCTAATGTATGAACTGGTCTAGGGATTTCGTCGCTTGACACACTTACATCAGTGTTTGCTCCTTGTTGTTCATTCAGAGACGCGGGCAACATTGATACGTTTGCAACATTTCTGATTGTTTCCATGTCAAGTGTACTTTCAAAAATAAGTGACTTCATTTCTGTCATATTTTCTGCTTTGATTGTTTCATACAAATCCTTCGCTCTGCTCAATATAAGATCAGGGATAACACTTCTCTCAACAGAGTTCCCAGATTCCATAACAAATTCAAATACTTTCCTAAATTCTTCTCCCTCGACATCTGCTTCTTTACATTTCGTTAAATTCCTTTCATGATAATTTACTTCTTTTGAGACAAGATTAAGTGTATCGGACTCAACATTGACCTTTGCTTGTGACATTTTTTCATAAATACTGTTGAAAAGACTTTGCTGTTGTAATTGCACTTTAGACAGCTGATCTTTATAAGTGGTTATATTTTCTTCTGATTCTCTTTTTGAAGCCGTTGAAGTGTTTTGTAGTTGAGTTAATGTTTCTTCTACACGGGCATGCATGTTCTCATTTACAGGGGTATTAGCTTTTGCGATTTCATTCACCGAATTACATTTACGGTGACACTCTGCTAAACACGTGACGCAAATATATTGTTCGTGATCTTCACATTTATACGCCACAACAGTGTCGGGATGGTCAAGGCAATTCATCATTTTTTTCATTGCTGCAATTGTTGTAAATTTATCTGAAATATTTTCACCTTCGAACAACTTATGATCCCTTGACAGTTTATTCTTTCTATGTTCACGAGCACAACTAGCACATAAATGTTCAGAACAATCTGTACAAAATGTACTTGCTTCTTTTTCAATATTTTCAAAGAGACAAGGTTCACACGAGAAGTTCGTTTTGTTTACCGAATTTTCTTCTTTACTGTAATGAAGCACCCCAACTGCTCCAAACACTTCAAACAGTTTATCAGTCTTAACAGCCATATTCGTGCTTGTCATTGTATTCGAATGTCCTAAAAAGTTAATATCCAAACACTATTTTATTCAAAACATCCGTGTCATAAATCTATATGGCGTATACAGGCACTTTATGACACAATTTTAACTTTTAAGTGTAAGTTAACAAAAACCGGTTTTATAGATATCGTTTTACATGTCGTAAATACGGTGTCCTTAAAGTGCTATCAACACATGGCAAACACATATTATGTACATTGTATTTTCAAACTACTCAGTCGTGGTAAACCTAGTTTAAATATTTCGTGTTACGTCTTAATAAGTTTGCGGTATTTCTTACAGATTGTCTTTTATCAATATTATAGACCATAATCATTTGATTATACTATGTCAAAAGTATGTACGAGAGTTTAGCCCTGAGAATAAAGTTATTATAATGTACATTTTGCACAAAATTACATTTTTATGTGTTGATATAAATCAATGTTTACTTCTTTAGAAAGGAAAACATACATTCTATAATGATTAAATAGCGGTTTTTGAGAAAGGTTTAAATATATTTTTGTTACCTAAAAAAAGTATATGAAAACATTTGTCATAAAAGTAGCAAAATGAAAACGAGGTAGCATTTTGACCTCAATATCAAAAATGAATTCACTATTGCCAAAAAGCAGCATATGGCATATGAAAAAGATGGTTCTGGTAATTGGCCAATGATTAACATTTTGGATACTATAAAAGTTCACCAAATGAAAAAAAAAAGTTTTTTAAAAATAGGAATAAAGGCATTTCTGAGGCATAATTGGCTTTTAACAGCATTTTGCGGACCCTCCCCTGAATTCATATTTTAGCACTGAAATGAATCACGTGTAGTAATTATTATTATCATTACCCCTTACTGATCGTAGATCGTGTTCTTGTTTTTCCAATTTAACTTATTTCATGACAATGGCCCTAACAGTGCTCCGTACACATTCAGTCTAATCAATATGTTTTATCACGAAGTAAATAAAGTTGAATGCATATTTGAAAGCGGAAGAAATCCATTTGTTAAAGCTTAAGTTTAAAGATTTGCAAAGTTAACACGCTTGAAAAGCCATGAAATAATAAACGTACATCTCTCGTGACATCAGCCCGCGCACATCTACCGTCTGTAGCTGTGTGAAATGAATTAAATAAAAATATTTACAATAGAATCAGTGTTTTTGTATCTTGTTAAAGAATATAATAGTAGGTCTACTGTAACTGTAAAGTAAGACAATCGTAAGGTTTGTCAAAAATTAACAATTCTTTAAAAGGAAGACTTACTGTCAGGTCTTTAAAGAAAAAAGTGTTGGAGCACCACACTTAATACTGTAATCCGGTATATACCGGACAATACGCTTGAATGCACTCGACTTGACATCCGCTAAAATGCATTTTAAAACGTCTTATTCATCTCTACACACCGATTTATATACGGTAATGAATGTTAAATGTGAGAATCCAGGGGAAAAAAACGATATTTTTCTACTTTGTGACCATGATTATTGCAAATGCGTCTAGAGGTACTGCTCCAACAAAGTATTTAAGAAAATGATT